GCCACTTCTGCTTGTTCTGACCAAGAGAAGGCTTCCTTCAACAGATCTGTAAGAGGGACGACTAGAGATGCATAGCCTTTTATGAATCTTCTATAGTAACCGGTGAGGCCTAGGAAACCCCGCAAACTCTTAATGGTTTTGGGCCGAGCCCACTAAGTCATCGCCACAAATTTCTCGAGATCGGTCATTACAGTCCCCCGAGAATTTATGTGCCCCAAATACTGAATCTAAGTCTGGCCGAATGTGCACTTGGAGGACTCGGCAAATAATTGATTTCGCCGAAGTATCCCAAGGGTTAACTCCAGATGTTCTAAATGAGAAGCCCAATCATTGCAATAGACCAAGATATCATCGAGGAACACCAAGATAAAGCGCCTGAGGTGGGGTTGGAAAATATCATTCATGAGGCTCTAAAAAGTGGAGGGTGCATTAGTCAACTCAAAAGGCATGACCAAAAATTCATAGTGGCCATCTATTAGACATTTATGCCCTTAGCTCCAATCAAATTGATGTATCTTTTGACATTTATTGTAAATGAATAAAGTACATAGTTGATTCATGTCATTGTGGCATATTTCTGTGTAATACCCTTAAACTGGACACTTGTGAGACTCGTGTTAGTTTAGAATCTTCACAGCCGTTGGATAGGTCTGGGGAGATTTATCCTACCAAGGCTGACACTGATGTGCCGCCAAGTTGGTTGGGGTGGCTTGTCTTAGTTGCTAGGGTGAGACTTGAGGTACATGCAGTGTGGATTTTCTTGAAACCCTGAACTGGACCAAATTCTAGTGTTGCCCTGGACCTTGGAGATAGATGGGCAAAACTGGAATGTTACACTTGACCCCTAGATTCGATTATGGTACTACACTATGTGTCGGATTGGGCAGTCTTTGATATGCCAATCAGTGAGATCCTTAGAGGGGGTCAAAACTTGGGTATGTTGGGACAGTCTGAGAATTCATCTGAGTGGGTGATTATAGTGATAGGATTAGCCCCTTTGTCGGACAAAGTGAATGATCGGGGAATGCACTCTCTCTGATGGAAACCTAAACTGTCGATAGTTGATTTCAAACGTTGAGATTTGTTTTGCAATATATATATATATATGTGTGTGTGTGTGTGTGTGTATTATGGTTTCAAAATGTTTGCAAAAGGTTTTAATTCCCGGGATCCATGTGACTAGAGAGTGCAACACTGTTCCTTGCAGCCGAGGGAGAGGTCCTCTCTTGTCGGGCAATGTTTGATCATCATGGGCTGAGAGGTTAAGTGTAAAACCATTGAGGGTAATACCTGATGGGCTAATCTTGCATTTGCCCACAGTCCTTGGGTTTTCATAAGGTGGTTGGACCCAAGGACCATTTAGTGTAAATGTTGGGCCCATTAAGAGCCCATGGTGATGGACTCAGGGGTTCACTGTCTCCCACAATGAATTCGACCAGGCCTTGTAACAAAGGCTAGGCTGAACCCATGTGGCTGATGTGTAGATCAATGTTTGAGTCCCACGCCATACAAAGAAAGTCAACTGGGCAGTAGGTTAAGGGTAAGTGAGCACATAAGCTTGATGGGCCTAAAGTCCAATTCGAACTGGGCTTAAATTAGTTAATTAAAAGGAGGCAAGATTTGATTTATAATCTGATTAGGATTAGCTGAAAGGATAAGACAAGTTTTATCCATTTAAGAGTCCAGATCCAAATATCAGATTTTGATCAAGAAACTCTCTCCTAATTAGATTAGGAGGCTGATCCAAAGAAGACTATAAATAGGGGGCGAATTTCTCAGTTTTAACATACACAACAACCTGTAGAATTCTCTCCTATTCTTGCCATCCCTACCCAGTTCGTTCTCCTCTTGTGGAATAGATCAAGAAAGGTTATTGATATTGTTTCTTGGGTGAAGAAACAATCTGAAGTCATGCTCACCATCTCCTATTCGATTCTTGCTGAAGAATCCTGGTTCTTGTTGAAGAGCCATCCTACTGATCCTACTTTATCACACTCTGTGTCGTCTTCAGTGAGAGCGGGTTTTGGTCTTCTCCTTAGGTGTGAATACCTTCATTGGGAGTTACTGCTACTTCGTATCAGGTAGATCCCTCTCCTCTCTTTTGGTTTCAGATCTGATCCGGTTTTGGGTTCAAGATTGATCATTGAAAATGCAATTTTCTAAAATAGGGAATGCGATTCCCAGATGGGAGAGAGAAATTTTTGAAAATTTGCCCAACCTTCCTGCAGGGTTTGGCCATCCATATGATGGATCTCTCATCCCTTCACCATCATGGGTCCTGAAGGCCGTTTTGTGGATGTGTTTCGGGTGGACCCAGATTTGATGGTAGTCGGATCGTAGGTCCAATTTGGAGAAATAAACGGCATGGTTCAATTCATCAAATAACTCATCTATTAATGGGATTGGAAATCTATCATTCACAGTGATGCTATTGGGGGCCCGATAGTCAGCATAAAATCGCCATGTTCCATCTTTCTTGACGAGAAGGACTGGAGAAGAATAGGGACTGTGGCTAGGTTGTATGAATTGATTGGACAACAAGTCAACTACTATTTTGTCAATTTCAGCCCGCTGAACATGCAGGTATCTGTAAGGCCTAACATTGGTGGGTTGGGCTCCCAACTGAATAGGGATGTGGTGATCATGAGTACGTACGGGGGGGTAGCCTGTTGGGTTTTCCAAAGACATGTTGATACGCTGCTAAGAGCTGTTGTAAAGTGGGATCCCCCGTCACAATATGAGTTTTGTGGTCACCATAGATTGTGGGTCCTACTCCCAATGAGCCCAAATAAACCAAGGTCGTTGCACTAGAGTGAAGACTATAATTGATAACATGTTAGGCCGAACTTGTTGCTGGTTCAATTGGCCCATTTCCCTTCAAATGGCATGGCTTCCTATTCATCCAAAAATCCATAGTCAAGAGGGTCCAATCACATACTGTTGGCCCAAGGAGTTTCAGCCATTGGATCCCCAAGACTAAGTCAGCCCCACTAAAATCCAAAGGGTATAAGTCCACACTGAACATATGGCCTTAAATTCTAAGGCCCACAGTCCTGCACAACCCATCACATGGAATTTGCTGCCCATCAGCTGCCTTAACAGCAAAGGGAGTAATCGCTTGGACCTCTACGCCCAATTGTCGAGCTAGGTCCAGAGTGATGAAGTTAAGGGAACTCCCATTGTCAATTAAGATGCACACTTTTCTACCCTTAAGTACAACATACACTCTCATGGTCTCAGTGGAGTGAAGCCCAATCAAGGCGTGGAGTGAAATCTCCGGGTTTTCTTCAATGGAGTCTTCCGCCTGGTCAGAGACCATGGGTCTAGTGTCCACATCTTCACTCTCATCTTGGTTGTCAACAATTTGGAGGAACATTTGTTGGGCCTTGCACTTATGGCCCGGGGAGAATTTCTCCTCAATTATAGCACAATCCTTTTTCCCAACGGGCCTGCATCTCAGCCCAGGTGAGTTTTCTCATAGTTGAGGCCGACAGGGGTTGTGGTCGAACCGGTGTTAGCTCGGTTCTGGGTGTCAAGGGTTTGGGAGCCAGTCGGAGAATTCCCGACCGTAGATTCCTCTTAACTCGGTTTAGTTTGTCTTCATGTAGTCGGGCTAGGCTCACAACGGCCAAAACAGTAGAGGGCTGCAGGGCTTTTCACTTCCAACCTAATGTCTTCCCTCAGACCACCAATAAAACAACCAGTGAGTGCATGTTCTGGCCATCCATGCACTCTCCTGGCTAACCGCTCAAATTCAATTTGATACTCTCGAATGGAGCCTGTCTGTTTCACTCTAGATAAAGCTTCGTCAAAATTTTCGAAGCTGGAAGGTCCAAATCTTATTTGCAGGGCTTCAATAAAATCTAACCAAGACAGTTGTGGGTGTGAACGGCGGTACCATTGGTACCAAAGGCTAGCCTCYCCATCAAGATGGATGGAGGCAATTTGTACTCTCTGGCCGACCGGAATCTCATGGAAATCAAAATACTGCTCTGCGCGGTAGATCTAGGGGGAAGGATCGTCACCTGAGTATGTGGGAAACACCAGTTTGGGGCTGAGAAGGTTGAAGGTGCTGTTCAGTTGAAGACCGCCGCTGCTCGATCCCTCTTGGTCTGCCTCCTTGCTCAGCTGAGTTGACATCCGTTCGAGCTGAGACACCACAGCAGAGAGGGCATCTTTGATACCCCTAGGTTCTCCCTCCATCCGATCTATTCTTTCTTCTTGTGATTGGTTGCGAGTGGTGGACATGGCGGATCAGGCGATCTGATACCAATTGATGGACTCTAAGCTGGCGGAGCTTCTTCGAGGGAGCTCCTTCCTCCAAAAACAGAGATAAGAGAGATATGAAAGAGAAAGAAGAGGAAGAGAGAAGGAAAACAAGGTAGTTATGATTCTTCTCTCCATTCTGTTCTAATTGATGGCCTTATATAGGCTCTCACACTAATCAGCTCTTCATGACTTCGAGCTCTGCATGTGGGTGGTTAGGATGTGGCCTACGGCTATAAACAAATCACAGGGGAGGTTTGTAATGTTTGGCATGTGCCACAGCTGCTCCTGCATGGGCTTCATGACCCGTGTGGGCCTAGCTTTCCTGCACCGAATGGGCCCGGTGACTTGATGGTGGGTTATTCGCCTGGGATCCATCATGTTTGGTCAGTGTATAATTTGATGGTGCTTGGGTAGATTTGGAACTCTTTTGTTTCAGTCCCTGTCGGGTGACTTTTGGTCATTTTCCTTGCACTTCTTTTTATTTTATTACCATAAAATGTCGACGTTACATGAGAGTTGTGTGTCCGGATAGCTTATTACAGTCATTCCTTAATATCTCATCTAGAAAGCCCTCCAACTTCAATAGTATTAGTTTCTTATCCCAGTTGTTTTCATGCATTTCTATTCTTTGTACATGTTCAAAGTATTTTGCATTTCTAATTTCTGACATCAAATGTAATATTTTGGAATTCATTATGTATGTAATATGTTTAGCATTTCTCGTGTTATAGATATTGGTGAGCTGAATCTACCCAAAACAACAACCATATCATTCCCCAATGGAAAGGATGACCTGATGAATTTTGAGATCACTATTCGACCTGATGAAGGATATTATTTGTAAGCTTTTTTTTTTTTTTGATCAGCCATATTATTTGTAAGTTTAATCTTATGCAGATGCAATTTTCCGTTTTGGTTCTTTTGGACAACACTGTGTATTTATGTATGTATTTCTTTTAAGAAATCAATTTAAGGTAGAGAGGCTGTTTTACTGTTTAAACGTTGTGGTTGCTTCCTATATATGGAAATATTATAATTTAGATGATACTTGTATTTTCTGTCACAGGGGTGGAATATTTGTGTTCACCTTCCAAGTCTCTCCTGTGTACCCTCACGAGGCCCCAAAAGTCAAGTGCAAAACGAAGGTGGGCATGCAGTCCTTTTGCTTTACAATCTTTGTTTTGTTCAAGTTTCTTCGTTGGACTTTTCATCATTATGGTATGAGATCCTAAATGGCACCAAACATAAACATACAGGTCTATCATCCTAATATTGATTTGGAGGGAAACGTCTGTCTCAACATTCTTCGTGAAGATTGGAAACCAGTTCTGAATATAAACACTATAATCTATGGATTGAATCACCTTTTCACGGTAATATGTCATTATTTTGTTAGTAGCTCTTTCTGGTTTGTGATGACTCTAATCTCTTTACTTTGCAATCTTGTTTATGTATATACTTAGCAACCCAATCATGAGGATCCCCTCAATCATGAAGCGGCCGCAGTCTTGAGGGATAACCCTAAGATGTTCGAATCCAATGTTAGAAGGGCAATGGCTGGTGGATATGTGGGTCAAACTTTCTTTCCTAGGTGCATGTGACAGATCCTGGTGACAAATCTCAACTGCAATAATATTTTCGACGCTTGAAGGTCCAAAAAGCTGTAAATTTGGTCGAAGAACATCCTTCGCTGTGGCCTTCTTTCAAGAAGGTTATTGATTTCTCAGAACCCCCCATCCCCCCCATACAACTGAAATCCACAGAAAAGGTGTTTGAATGCCGTTGTAACTTCTTTATGTATTTGTGATAACTGGGAAAGACGATGTTTTCCTTGCTTTTTATTTTGATCATGAATATGGAGTGAACTTGGGCTTGAGACATAAGACATGTATGCCTCTTTATTGCAGCTCTTTGTTACAATTCTTCTGGATATTTCTGCATGTTCTCTTTTGTTTTGTGGTGGCGCGTTATTACCTTCGCAAATCGCAATGCAAAGATAATTCCGCATGCACCTTTCGCAGCCAAAAGATAAAAAGAGGGTTTCTTAGCTAGAGCACATTTTTTAATATAAATTTTTTATTCAATTTTCTGTTTCTACTAACGTCTACAGCCGGATGATCCAGTATATCACTATTTCTGTGAAGGGATCCGAAGGTAATTTATCCGTTCAAGGGGGTAGCTGGCTAGCTGAAATGCACTTAAATTTATTAAGTCCAACCATCGTCTCTGTCTGCCACACGACTGATAATGAAATAAGGGTGGCAATATGCAATTATGCATCTATGCGAGTCCGGGCCTCAGCGAAAAAAAAAACATGTGAACACGAGTCCGGATTTCCTGAAAGCAAACAATTAACAAGCGTGTGAACATGCTATAGGATTATTTCCCAGATTAGATTTGTATGTTAAATTCATATAGAGATCTCTTGATGTGCCGCTGAATGCCAGTGTGTATATATGCATTTTCTTCTCATTCTTGAAGGTTTAGAATGTAAATATGATGGTTAATGGTGAGGGCATGTTTGGTAAAAAATATGAGCGGCCATATTACTACTACGTGCAACCCAATTTACTAAACAATGAAGGAATTTTCTTATATAGTCTGCAATCTGCTATCAACATATGGATCCACAAAGGAGTGTGAGAGCCAAACTCCAACAGACTTGTAATCACAATTGTAGAATTTCCCTTAAGAATGATAAAAGAGAACCCCAATTCTAAAGCAAAAGTCAGAGCTGCATGAGCAGCTTTAACTTCTAATTCTTCTGGGGAARCTTTAGGAACTTTAATAGATCTGCCATAGATAAAAAAAAAGTCACGGATCACCACACCTAATCCCACATCTGACAACGTTAAAGCACTATTGAACTTAATTTTTTACATAGGAGGGATAGCTCTTTCAAAAGCGGGAGGATTCATTCAGCCTTAAGATGGTATGGACAAGGTTCAAAATTTCATCACGTATCGGCCGATACGTATCATATCGGAGCCTTCCTGATACACCCCTACAGGGGATGTTTCGGGTCAGCAAGTGATTCAGAGGGTAGACCGGTCTTAAACTGGCCCCTCTGAACCAGTTTTGAAACAAAAAATACTTAAAAACAGTACCGATACTCCCTACCGGCATATTGCCTCGTATCGATATTTTGAACCTTGGGTATAGATGTTGAATTCACTGTGATAACGGAAAGACATGGTATTGGAAAAACTTATAACAAAATTCATGGTCTATGGATGTTGGATTCAACTATGATACTGGAAAAAACATGGTATTGGAAAAACTTGTAACAAAATTCTTTCTGGCTGCACGATTTTTTCCATAAATGTTTCATTATAATGGTTATGTCACTTATCAAATAAAAAGGGCGAGTATGCAATATGCAGGTTTTTTTGTATCGTGCACCTTGATACTTTGAATCTTGTTCCCAACTACATCTTCCACCGGTTGAATGCCATTGAACTGTGTCATCCATGGTTCCTGCTGCCGTCCACTGTCGTATATAGTATCCACCATTTTGCATGTATCAATCTATCCCTTTCTGTTGGGAACTTGGATTTGCTTCCCATAGAGTGCACCCCGAAGTGCACATAGGGGTGCTTATTATATGGTTTAGACAGCCAACTGCACCAAGTCAATTCGAAATTGACAGTTTGGTCTGTTCTAGTCTTAAAATGGTTTGGTTTGATCTAAGAATTTCCTCAAATCATAATTTTTTTATTTTGTTTAGCTTTTAAAATTTTAGAAACCAGACCAAATTGTAAACTGAATTAAACCATATTAATAATATACTGTCAATTTATCTATATATGATATATACATTTAAATATATGTATGTATTAACATTTCATACATTGTTATTGTTTGTTTCAATTAACTTGTAATTTGATGCCTTTGGAGCTGTTTATGTTTGAAAAGTGAATGTAATTTATATATAATAGTAATAATTGGCACTTATTAACATTTTAATTTGATATTTAAATTATATTTGTTATTTATGTAAGCATGCATGTTATTTGGGCTTTCTAATTGGGTTAAGCCCAATAAAATGGTCCAAACTTTATTAGAAACCAGACCAAACTGTAGCAGAACAGTTGGTTTCTATGCTAAAATGATTTAATTTGGTTTAAAAATTTCTCAAACCATAATTTATCAGTTTAGTCTGAAATCTTCTCAAAACCAAACCATGAACACCCTAGCTGCACACTGGGAACATCTCCGATTTCCGGTATTTGTATGTTGCCATTCATTAAGACATGTTCTCCCAATGAATCCTATTATACTATAACAAAAAAAAAAAAATCTTATTATATTATAACATATTAAATACCTGGACCCCATTATTTTAGAAATGCATTTTGTAGGTAATGCGATTTATTGATTGGAGCATAGTTCCGTCCACGGCGTAATGCACGAATTTACAAAGTAGAAATTTTAAGAAAGTGCAGACAGAGATTTGATGCACATCTTATTGTTGATATGAACTCTACATTACTGTGGACAGCACATGTAGGGCAAATAATCAAGGGGTGAGCCGTTCCTTAAATGATCCATTTATCGCATATTAAGCATTCGTAGGCTCTGAAAAAATGATCTGGTTTATGATTAATGGTTGCTTTGGACCAGGGTACAAATGTTTCAATGGAATATAAGTGAGCTTTTGGTATCAGCTAAATTCGGAAATCCTACAATGATTGCATAACAGCACCAACAATGGTGGATCACACTGTCAAAGGGCTTCCGGTGCCATTTACGCACTAATGGGTTCAGTGGCTTTCTTCAGCCATGCCATCTCGGTTTCATCCAAGAATGGTTCCAAGACTTCCCTGCATCTGGCATGGTATGCGTTCACCCATTCTATCTCTTCAGGTGTTAAGAGTTTCAGATCCATCAACTTTTTCTGATATGGTGCCTGCGGATAAAAGAAACACTCAGAAATTAAAAGATACTACATCAGACTGACAGATTTCCCCTTGTATAGTAAAATAAACACATAGTAAGCAGGGTCATCTAGATTTCATCATATGATTAATAAGCAATTCTAGTAATTTATCAAAACATTAACAATTCTAGTCAAGAGTATCTGATAGGTTAAACACAAGATTTTATTTACTAATCTTATACAACTTATCACATTGTTTTCAATGATGTGATGAGGCTTGTCAATGTGGAATTAGAGGTGCAAGTTTTGATTATTCAGATTAATGTCATCAAAGGGAGAGGTAACTCTGGCTACAGTTTAACACATTGTGAATACTCGGCTGATTCTTGACTTGCCTTGGTAGAATTGTTGGAGCCTATTTATCCTTGTTGATCTATTTTACCATATCAATAATACTCGTCTAATTCTTCACTTGCCTTTGTGGCATTGAGAGAGATGAGCTATACCTAGTGACAAGGATAAGAATTTACATAATAGCTTAGCTGTAGGGCCATATTGAGGCAAAAACATCATCTGCACTTTTATCTTTAGAAAACCCCTTTATTTTTGTCCTCTTTCATGTTCAGACGCAAGTCTAGGTACGATATCATCTAAAGCCACTCTACACCAAGAAAAAAGCATGGGGTGCCTCCATGTACCATGTTAACTCTTGTTGACAGAAAAGACAACTTGGACCACACCAAAACAACTAGAGTTATTAAAATTTGCCAATGCCTAGCAACCAGTGTTCCGTGACTTGTAAAATCTTTCTACAACTAGAGTAATTGATGTTAAAAATTAATCTAAATTCATAGGAAATCCAGGAAGGGGTGGTCACTAAGGACACCAAAGTGGTTTCTGACAATGCCACAAAAGCAAAAGCCAAAAATTGGAGAAGTATTAATGATATGGCAAAATAGATCAACAAGGATAAAGAGAAGAGGCCCCAACATTATTACCAAGGCAAGTTAAGAATTAGCCAAGTATTCATAACGAGTTAATGATTTGACGGCAAGCAAATAATTAACCTAATCTACATGACCACTATCCTAGTACAACCATGCTAAGGATTAAATATTTGTTGTTATACACTGAGGAGGCTGCTAAGGATGGCAAGCTTCTCACAAAGGTAAAAAAGACGAGCTAAGAATTATTCAAATATTGAATTCCTCTATCGATAGACACTGAAGGAAAATCAATTGATTAAGAATATGTAAGCTGTAGGGAGATTAGCAAAAGGAGTGCCAAGACATCAGTTGCTAGTATCAAGGCTGTAAAGCATTGAGGTTGTTGGGCACCTGGTTATCAGGCATCAGAGTTGTTGAAAACTCAACAGATGATAATGAAGAGTTCATTATTGAAGTGTGTATTGTCCATGATGCTGCCAAGACATTCTGTATACCTTACTGGTGCTCATTGATCTAGAGTCAAAAACCAAAAACCAAAAAAGTTCGATATATAGTTATGAAAATCCAGTTTTATTCAGGACATCACCACTAATGGGTCCTAACCTGCATGGGTTCCATTGTAGGGCGCAAGCAGGACCAAACAGCTCAGCAGATGGAAATTTAACCTTGGGAAAACTAATTAACTTGGTGGATTTCCAAGCATTTAAACAAAATATTGTTGTTTAGTGAAAAGAGTACAGGTATGATAACCAATACTCCACGAGGAACCTTAAATACTGTGTAATTTGCTTAAGGTTATTTTTAAGACAAAAAACTGATACAAGAGAAAATGAAAAATGCTTTCTCCCAAACCTCAAAGCCAATTTTCTAACAAAGAAGATCCTTATATGCCTCCAACCAAGTGCACAGCTTGAAAGGCTCTCCTGGTTTATGAAGAAATTATTTCACTTATTAATTTTTCTACTTATCCTTCATTAAGTTTCACTCAGAAGAGGTCTATGGTGCATTTAAACTACTAGCACATAAGACAGAGATCTAGTGGTCCTGATACATCAATAAAATTATGAATTGTAAGAGAATTACATGGTAACCAGAACAAAAGGTCAAACTTACCCAAGTTATGTGCTCAAATGATAAGTAGCTTTTATCCCCAAAATTGAATTTTGTATCAGCCTCCTTAACTATAAGCACATTTTCCAATCTTATACCGAAGTTCCCATCTTCATAGTAACCAGGTTCTGGAAATCCAAATATAAAGAGAATTATCAACCATCACACAAATTTTGGTTCTTGAAAAGACATGACAAAACAAATATGTTATACTTGGTACAGAATCAGCAGTTTATGCACCGAATTAATTGTGGATAGACAAATAATCACCAAAATTTCTGCTCCATATGCTATTGGCTATCCTAAAACCTCAAATTGCATCATGCTTTAATTTTATTGTTTATTTACATGTATGCTATGCCTATTTATCCACTGTCAGTAATCCCATTAAACGATTTCAATTCTCAGCTAGAGTATTACCACCACATTCTAAGGAGAATATTGGCCAGTTCAGTCCAAGGTAAAAGTTAAACTACTGAGATGGCAGAAAAATGTGGGATGATAGATACATTTATCCACCAAAGTGTGAAACTCTTGCATCTCTCTTCCACCATTCAATTGGAAAAGAACAATATGTGAAGACACTCTATCTTTCTTTGTTCAGGATGAGGAAGAGATTATGTTGAAGAGAATAATAAGGATGCAAAAGAAAAACTGCAGGGACATGCTGACCAATTGCAACTACATTCATTTTCTGACAAATGCATCCATTCCAAGATCCCTTTTGTCCAGGATGAGTAAGAGTTTCTTTATTGGAACTTTTCTACTAATCCCTACAGCCAAGCATGTCCTAAGAGAATACCAGATAAAGATAAAAAAACGCAGGTATATGTAAACCAATTTCAACCACCTTCTTTTTCTGACAGATAGACATGTAATTAGAGCCCAACAAACATAACCAAATGGGAAACGATCAAAGACATTATATGAGTGATATTTTTCAAACCTCAAACTCAAACCAGAGTATACTAATTAATGGATTATACCTACCATCTGTTACGGTCATCGATGCTTGTAATGGCACATTTTTAGCTTGTAGTCTGAAACTAATTTGATGAGGTCCTGCATTATAATGAAATTAAAAGGATCCATCAGATCACAATCACATCAAGTAGAGATAATGTTACAGAAGAAAAAGAAAAACTAAAGCACTGTTAAATAAAAACATATATACCTTCATGAATATTAAGGTAAGACCCAATCCCATGACCGGTACCATGTCGATAATCAAGACCATCCTTCCACAATGGAACTCGAGAGCATGTCCTATAACAAAGCAATTTGCAGTTAAAATGGATAAACTTCAACTTAGTAGATGGACATGTTATATGAAACATTGTATTGTTGTGAAGTATTTACCAGGTCAATAAAGACTATAAAGTTGAGGGAAAGAGAAAAATAAGTACTTGAGAATACCATTTGTCCCATTAGGAAATCTTGCAGTGTTCAATGCAATATGGCCTTTGAGAACCTAAATCTCCAGTCAAAATAAGCAGACATTACTAAACCCCATTTTAACTAGCAGGAAATTATTTTCCTAAAACAAATGATAGATATGAGACTTTAAACATTGTAAATCATTACTCATTAGACTTTGAAAAAGGTAAATCCTTGATGCTGTTGGGACAAGGAGAAAAACTATAAGGTTTTATACACTTTAGAAAAGGTCAGAATGAGACCATGTATTCATGGTCATTAAAGCACTTGAAAGAAGAAGAAGAACTGTTTACTGTATTACAGGTTTGAAGAGAAGAGAGAGAGAGAGAGAAACAGTGAAGAGAGGAGAAAAGAATGAAGGGGTTCAGTAGTGAACAATCTGCTGCCCCATACACTCCTTTGTTTATAGCTTTTAGGATCCTTACAAGAATTGGAAATAAACAAAAATTAGAAACAATAAGGCCAACTTCCTCAACTTAACAGAAATTAGAAACTTCTAATAATAGAAATTAAAAACTAAAGAAATTAGAAACTACTAATAAAAGAAATTAGAAACAACTAGGTGTGGGTATGAAACCACACACACTAGAGCCTGAGTGTGGGTATGGAACCCCACACTCGTGTCTAACCAACTATTTCTTCACTCCCCCTCAAATTGGGAGTAGATATTTGTCATGCCCAACTTGCATAGATCTGTCTCCAATTTGCCTTTTGTGACTACTTTGGTGAAGAGATCAGCTAATTGCATGTTTGAGGCAATGTAAGGAAGGCATACTTCTTGAGATGCGACTCTACTCTCAGATAAAATGTCTGTCAACCTCGATATGCTTAGTCCTGTCATGTTGTATTGGGTTGTGGGCAATATTAATTGCAACTTGATTATCACAATACAACATCAAACGCTTCTCATAATCAACCTCCAACTCATTAAGCAAGGATCTCAACCATAACACTTCTACAACACCATTGGCCATGGATCTGTATTCCGCTTCTGCACTGGAGCAAGCAACAACATTTTGTTTCTTGCTTCTCCAGGAAACAAGATTYCCCCCCACAAATGCACAATATTCAGAGGTAAACCTCCTATCGTCAACACATCCAGCCCAATCCGCATCTGTATACACTTCTATTTTCATATGACCATTATTCTTGAAGAGTATACCTCTCCCTGGACATCTCTTTAAGTAGGCAAGGATCCTTTCTACTGCAAGGAGATGGGTGGTCCTAGGAGAATGCATGTATTGACTGACAACACTGACGGCATAAGAAATATCTGGTCGGGTTAGACAGAGATAAAGAAGTTCCCCAACCAGCCTTTGGTACATAGCCCTGTCCTCAAGGAGTTCTCCACTTTCTGCACTTATCTTATGGTTAGGCTCAATGGGGGTATCGGCAGGTTTCACTCCTAACTTGCCAGTTTCTCCCAATAAGTCCAGAACATATTTCCTTTGGGAGATGAAAATGCCATGCTTAGATCAAGCTACCTCAATTCCTAGGAAATAGTGTAACTTTCCTAGGTCTTTCACTTCAAATTCCTTGTGAAGGTGTTGTTTAAGGGTTTCAATTTCACTAGTGTCACTTTTTGTTATCATAATGTCATCTACATAGGTTGCAAGTAGAGTCAGGGAATGACCTGTCTTCTTAAAGAAGAGAGTGTGATCTAACCGAGCCTATATGTATCTGAATTTGTCCAAAGCCAGTCTAAACCTATCAAACCAAGCTCTCAGGGATTGTTTCAACCCGTACAAGGCCTTCTTCAAAAGGCAAACTTTCTTTCCTGCTTTTGTACTATAAAAACCAGGGGGTAACTCCATGTATACTTCCTCTTGCAAGTCTCTGTTGAGGAAGGCATTCTTAACATCCAACTGAAATAGTGGTCATGAGAAGTTTGCAGCAATGGATAGAAGAACTCTGATAGTGTTCATTTTTGCAACAGGTGCAAGGGTTTCTGTATAGTCTATGCCATAAGTTTGTGTGAATCCCTTTGCAACCAATATGGCCTTATACCTCTCTACAGTACCATCAGCATTATATTTCGCAGTAAACACCCATCTGCATCCAACAAGTTTCTTCCCTTCAGGCTAGTTAACTAGTTCCCATGCGTTGTTCTTGACAAGAGCATCCATCTCTACTTGCATTGCTTCCTTCCATTCAGGTATCAAAAGAGCTTCTTGCACTTTTCTGGGTATAGGAATAGCAGAAATAGATGCCAAGTAAGATTTGTAGGATTCTGAGAAACAATTATAGGAAAGGAACTTGGAGATGCAATGGGCAGTGGATGAGGTGCAACGGTGCTTCCCTTTACCAATAGCAATTGGAAGATCAAGGTCATTTTTCAGTGAAGGCTGAACCTCTGTAACAGTGGAATCAACAGTGGGAGCAGTAGTAGTGTCTGAGCAGAATCAATGAAAATTAGTTGCTGATCTTTTTTATTAAAAGGAGACAAAGATTACAAAGTGCCCTTTTCAAGAGCAACAGACCCGGTCCAGGGGCCTAGGAACAGAATTACAACTCAAATAAACTATAAGTTCCCAGTTGAAACCCAAGCAACTTGCTTTGGAGACCTTTTACAGCAGCTGTCCAGGAGATTAGCCTCCCATTGTGTCGCCATCCATTCTATTTAAAGCCATATCCGTTCAATTATTGGTCCTTAAATCATTTCTTACTACTTCTACCCATGTCCTTTTTGGTCTACCCCTAGCTCTTCTAGCCCCTTCCACTTATAAAAAACCACTTCTTCTAACAGGAACTTTTGGTGGTTTTCTATGCACGTGACCAAATCATCTTAGTCTACTCTCTCATTTTACTCTGAAAAAAGATCAGCAACTAATTTAAGAACGAAAGAAGGAAACATACAAGCACAAATACAAATTTTCATTGATTCATGCCACAAGATTAGCAATTATTTGTCATCAAATAAAGCAACAAAAAAAGAAAAGAACAGATTGAAATTATTAATGATAGTACACTCACAGCAGTATAACATGCTTTCTCATGAGCAGAAGGCTTGCCAAAATGAACCGTCCGTGTTATATCAGTTATTCCATCTTGATACTTCGAGATCACCATTACCAATTTCAGTAAAGTAAAATGCTAGAAGCACAAACTCAATCTAGAATAAACAAAACAAAGAGGTACCTATTCCACATGGCCCATGTAGCCCTTTGAATGGGCTGGGAAATTACATGTAAAAGACCATGTGGAGACCTTAAAGTAATCCATTGTGGAAATTTTCAAGTTAAATAGCTCTATGCCATAAGGGAAAAAACATGCCCTTTCTCTCGCCTTCTCTTATTTGCAAATTTAAAATTTCAATACTTATTATTTAGAGGCAAACATGCCAGCGTAGGTTGGAGAAGAAGCTGACATGTCCAAACACTAAAGATATGGTCAATTTAGATCCTACCCATAAGAATGGTCTTGATGTAGTCATCCATAACTAAAACTACCCCATTACCATATGCAGATGGTAAATCAATATTACTTCAGACAATGGCTTTATAATTCGGTTCCCTACTCCCCCTCCCTCCCCTGGAAAAAAAAAAGTTTTGAAGCCATTCAACATTAGGAACAAACCTGTGCTCCTGAATCAAACAGGTAGATACTATCAGCATCAAGTTCAGAGCATGTTTCTGCATCTGGGGCATAATGGATAATTGCTGCATTTGGACCAACAGATGAAATAATAGGGAAACTTAACCCTTGGAAATGCTGCAGTAAAACCATATGCAAATGAAATCAGAGCAAGACAGAAATATGTGGTGACACTGGAACAGGATTTGGTGGTAATTAGTTCTAAATGAACAAAAAAGAAAACATTGAACACATATACATACATACAGAGGAAGAAGGATACAGAGCTAGCCCCTACTGAATCTAAGCAAGCCCAGGCTGGGTTAGTGAATTGTGGGGATTACCTCAAGGAGGGGCAAATGATATGTAGGTCATGAGTTAGTGAATTGTGTGCTCGATAGATTTGCTGGCCTATACTGAGGGGGTGCAAACTTGTTTGTACTGTATAAATCACATATAGCCAGGATACAATTGAAGGAAGTCTGGGATCTTTGAAAAGAACACCAAAAGAAAAGAGTCATTTGCTAATCTAATAAAAAATAATATAAAATTACAATGAAGGTCCAACCAAAGAAACAGATATCTGATATATATACAAAAGCATAAAATTTCAATTACTGAAGATTTACTCTTGCTTGTCCAATATAGATCATCAAACAATAAATAAAATCATTACCTGTTTTGATGCACGGAAGCCCTCTAACTTATCACTTGCAGTTACCTCTGTTAGCTTCATGGTTTCCCTGTCTCATAAATAATAAAATGTGTCAGTCAGCAGCAGTATTGCATTATGAAGTTCTTATCTCTTAGGGGGAGAGAGATGCAAATGGAAACATACCAAATTCCTTCTCAGATTTCAATAATGTTATATTTCATTCAAAGAGTTAGCAGAATCACAATGGAAAGTGGACAAAGCCCAGGGGACAAACTTCAGGACACTATACTTCCTTAATGATGAAGCAAAAAACTGGAAAACAGGACATAGTTGATGGAAGCCTAAGCTAATACTTTGGGTCCCAAAAGGGTCTCCTACATTACTAACATCTTATAGGTTGTGCAGTACCCTTGATGTGTTTTCTCTGGAAATGAGAATCTCTATTGCTATCTCTTGATTTATTTAGTTATTAGCTGATTTGATCAGTTTGACTAGTCAACAGTCCAACAAAATCTGTTTTTAGTTCTTGTCTTTGGTTAAAAGATTCCTGTCTTAATTCTTAGGCAAAAATAGCAAAGATTTAGAACTAGAAAATCCTAATCAGGAATTGATTATTTCAGTCCTAGTTTCCTTTTCCTTTCTTGCTCTTCCTTTAGTCTAGACTCCAGAGTGAAAAGGTCTCATCGTCCCCATTATGAGAGTAGATTGAATGGCTGCAACAAAGAACTTCTGAATTTTCTTTTATTGATTGGGAAATAGGAGAAAGCATGTAGGTGCAGAACCAACACTAGATGTTGGGTTTGGGACAGATATGGAAAATTCTGTCAGGTCTTTCTTCTACCAGTTGAATGGGTAAAGGATCGTTGGGTTCCCTCAAAGAGATTTGGAAACCACCAGTCCCATCAGAGGTAGCTTCTATGGTCTGGTCAGTCTCTTCAGAAAAATGCCTCGTGAAGGACAAGCTTATTAGTAGAGGTAATGATAACATTTGAGCATGGCTGTGTACTTTGCCACCAGGAACTAGGAACAATAGATCACATATTCATTAACTGCCCTCTCAACTCTCTGCTTTTTGCGCATTTTTGGTGAATCTAAAGTGGTGCAGACCAAGAACTATAATGAAATTGCTGCAAGAGTGGAAAGTAAATGGTCTAAACATGAGAGATAAAAAACTGTGAAGCACTGAAGCACCATCCCTCTATCCATCTTTCGGATAATTTGGAGAGGATCTTGTCAAAGGATTTTGGTGCTCAGAATGGCCCTTGCTACAGTTCACTCCTGGATAGAAGCACACAACATATTCAAAGGTGTTCCCCATCATAGCTTGTTTGAACAATTTTTTATCAGCATCATAGTTTTTTTTTTTTTTTTNGGGGGGGGGGGCATGTCCCTGTCATATAGAGCTATTTGTTGTATAATGCCTTATTTTACATGACCTACATGCATACTGTTCCTATTTAAAAAAAAAGGAAGCTTCATGACTCTACATGATAGAACAAAGCTTGATGCTGCTGTCCAAGACCTTCATGGACTCTCCCTCACAAGACCATCCACAATGAAGTTGGCCAATCTAGGAGCCCAATGGAACAAAGGGGTTCACTCAGGATGCCAATGATCTTAACCCCCTTTCACTATAAATAGTCCCCAAGGGCCACTGCATCTACTCCCCTTCACTAAGAAGCATTCAATATGATATCTTATAGATACTAATAGCCTAAGCCCATGTATCAGTGAAAGCATCTCAGATGTTCCTGAAGAACTTTTCCTTTTAGAAAGAAAATAGATCCTCTCTCAAGAATACCTCAACACATGTGGTACAATCCTGTTAAGAATAAATACTGATGCAACTCTATTTATACCTAAAAAAAGAAAGTACAAAATCTTCTGTTCACCCTCTTGTATTTCTCTTGATTCTAGTAACCACTTAAAATTATAGTTCTTACTGCTCTAGATTTGTTCTCTGTGTCTAGTTGTCTTAAATTTTTTGGTTTACCATAAAATTCTGTGTTGGGTTACTGCCCAACTCAGGGACCACTTCGAGGGGGTTCATCTCCTACAGAAACAAAGGGAAAGAGGAAAAAGAATTTGGAAAAATCTCTTGGCATATCACTCTCTTCTGCCGCTAACATTACTTATAGCATCTTTTCATTACACTCATTACCCACCACTCCTCCCATAACTGATCCTGATTTCGCATGTGCAGATCCTAACCGATTATGCTGATGTGTTCTTCTGCCTTCGGGTGTATACAAAACGAACTGGGCACGGGACATTCTTCGCATCTTCCACTGCTATTTCCCAGGTGGCATTGTCCAGAAGAAACCCAGTCCAGGCGATTAAAACTTCTTGCACAAATTTCTTACCTCGCTTCACCCAACAGTAGTCTAGCACCTTCTGGTAAGCTACTTTGCCTATTCATGCTGTTACTCGAAATGGGCCGTAGTAGCGGAGGGAAAGCTTCTGGTTTGCTCTTTTTGCCACAGCCAGCTTCCAGTAGGGCTGTAATTTCAAATAAGATGAGTCACCCACTTGGAATTAAACCTCTCTATGCCTCTTATCATAGTGGAGCTTCATTTGTGACTGAGCCCGGCGTAGATGTCCTTTAATATTTTTATAACTTCATCATGTTCTGTTAAGTGGGCGTCCACCTCTCCAACTGCTGAGGACTCTCTTTCGTAGGGTAGAATAGAAGGGGGATCCCTTCCATATAATGCTTGGAAGGAAGTCATGCCGGAAGAGGTGTGGAAGGAAGTATCATACCAAAGCTCCGCCCATGGGAGCCACTTAGTCCACTGTTTAGGTCTGTCACCACTGAAACAACAGAGATAAGCCTCTAGGGACCTCTTCACCACCTCCGTTTAGCCGTCAGTCTGGGGATTGAAATAGTCCTTCCAAAATTGGCTCATGAAAGTGGGGTCTCAATCTGTTACAATGGACAGTGGTGTGCCATGAAGCTTGGCAACATCCTGAATGAAGATCCATGCCACTTGCGATGCTGTGTAGGGGTGGGAAAGAGCAAAAAAATGGGCATACTTAGTGAGCCAATCAACAACCACCAGAATAATTGGCTTACCATAGGAAGTGGGGAGCCTGGTGATGAAATCCATGGTAATCTCCTCCCAAACCTTGTCTGGTATGGGGAGAGGTTGCAAGAGTTCCTGTAGGAGCCGGGCTGTTGTATTTATTTTGCTGATAGACATGACATGCTGCTGATAGGCCCCCAGTTAACCTTACGTATGCTAGGAGAAAGAAAAGGCAGCATAAGGGGGAGATGATTAGACATGGGGCATTTATGGAGGAGGTCAGAAGGGAATAGGAAGAGTCTTGGGGCATTTATAGCTATGTCAGTTATGAAAAAAAGAAGAATTTTTGGGCATTTATAACTAGGCCAGCTGGGCATTTATAGAGGGAGTCAGTTATGCTATCAGAAGGGTATAAGAAGGGGCTTTGGGTGATGGGGGGTGGCATGTTTTTCTTTGAGTAAAGAATATTGTGAGTGTTGGGAGAGCCGGCGGTCTCTCGAAGAACCGACCAACTGTTAATGTTTTCTGCTGAATGAATACTAGTCTCTTTTGTTGATGTTCGAGTGTGTGTGAACACTGCTGTGAGTCTGTGAACTGCGTGTCAAATTTCTGGGTCATATCAGCTGCTACATAGTCCCACACTTGTTTCTTCATGCCTAGCCAGAAATAATGGCTGGAGAGGCGTTTTTATGTGCATAGGATACCCAAATGCCTAGCAGTGGTTATGTTGTGGAATAAATTGAGGAGCTCCTGGCGGTATTCAAAAGTGGGTGCAACCACCAGTCGGCCTTTGTAGAAGAGGTCTCCTTGCTGAACGTAGTATCCTGGGACTGAAGAGGGGTCTTGGGCCTAGAGCTCTCTTATACGGTCCAAGGTGGGGTCCTACTAAGCCTCCCACTTAAGATTGTCCAAATAAGGGATAAGTGGACCTTAGATATTACGGTGTAATGGAACTTAGGTGCTTGTGAGAGAGCATTAGAAGCTCGATTCGTAGCTCCCGATTTATATTCAATATGATAGTCAAAGTCCATAAATTTGTAGGCCCATTTCTGTTGCTCAAGTGGCAGAAATGGCTGGTCCACGAGGTGTCTTATGCTCTGTTAGTCTATCCGAATGATGAACCAATGACCAAGAGATAAGCCTGCCACTTGAGGACCGTTAATACCACCACCATTAACTCCTTCTCATAAGTGGACTTTGTTTGGGCCTTAGGGGAGAGGCCCTTACTGTAGAAGGCTATAGGTTGGTTGTCTTTGATCAAAATAGCCCCTAGACCAGTCCTTGAAGCGTCAACTCAACAATGAAGGTCTTGGTGAAGTTGGGTAGTGTTAGGGTGGGGGTGTGGATATTGCGGCCTTGAGGGCCTCAAAGGCCTGTTTTGCTGAATCATCCCATTTCAATGCCTCCTTTTTAAGTAGTCGGGTCAAGGGGGCGGCCAATTGTCCGTAGCCTTTAATAAAGCGGTGATAATAACCAGTTAACCCCAAGAAGCCTCCTAAGGCTTTTTTACTGAGTTGGACCTAGCCCACATCATCATGACTGAGGTTTTACCTGGGTCAGCCATGACCCTTCCCCTTTCAATTATATGGCCTAGAACCACTTCGAGGGGGTTCACCTCGTATAGAACTAAAGGGAAAAGAGGAAGAAGAAGAACTTGGAAAAATCTCTCAACATGTTTCTCTTTTTTGCCACTTAAATTACTTATAGCATCTCTAGATTACAAACGTTACCCACTACTCCAATAATTGATTCTAATTCCTCCTCCTTATCCCCCCTCCTCTTAAGTAGGCCTACGCCTCCTTGTGTTCGGGAGGCTTACGCCTCACACCTCTAGGTAGTGGAGCGCCTCACATCACGCCTTCGCGTTTTAAAACATTGGTTCCTAGATCTCTTTAGGATGTTCTTCTCTCTCCGGAATGGAAGAGGGCAATGAATGAGGAATTTCATGCTCTTCAATCTAATCATACTTGGGACCTCACTTCTCTGCCTCCAAGGAAGAAAGCAGTCGGTTGTCGGTGGGTTTACACTATTAAGCACCTTGCCAATGGTAGTGTGGAGAGATATAAAGCACACTTAGTAGCCAAAGGGTATACACAGACCTATGGCATTGATTATACTAATACTTTTTCACCGGTTAGCTAAAATGGGTTCAGTCCAGGTGCTTATTTCCTTGGATGCACACTTTGATTGGTCGTTGTTTTAGTTGGGTATTAAAAATGCATTTCTTCACGATAACCTAGAGGAGGAGGTGTATATGGAGCAACCTCCATGGTATGGTGCTCAGAGGGGAGGAATGTAAGGTGTGTCAGTTGAAGAAAGCAATTTATGGGTTGAAGCAATCTCCAAGGGCCTAGTTTGAGAGATTTAGTAGTGTAGTACTACAGTTTGGGATAACACAATGTAGGGCTGATCATTTAGTGTTCAGTAGAGATACTACCTTTGGGAAGATTGTGTTGGCAGTCTATGTTGATGACATTATTATCACAGGAAGTGATGAGCATGGAATTAAAAAGCTTAAACAATTCTTACAAAGCTAGTTCCAGACCAAGGACTTGGGGCATTTGAAATATTTTCTAGGTATAGAAGTAGCAAGGTCAAAGTGGGGAATCTCTCTCTCACAAAGAAAGTATGTGCTTGACTTGTTGGAAGAAATTGGTCTTCTAGGGGCAAAGCCAATTGATACCCCTTTATAGATTCGAATGTGAAGATGCCTGATAGTAAGGGGGAGCCCCTAGCTGATCCTGGACGGTACAGGAGAGTAGTTGGCAAATTGATTTATTTAACTATCATAAGACCAAACATTTCCTTCAGTGTTGGATTATTGAGCCAATTCATGCAGAACCCAAGGACAATCCATTGGGAAGGTATTGTTAGAGTTCTATGCTATTTGAAGGGTGCTCCAGGTAAAGGGTTGTTGTATAAGAAAGGGAGAGAACTTTCCTTGGAAGGGTACATAGATGCTGATTGGGTAGGGTCAGTTACTGGCAGGAAATAAACAATTGGTTACTACACGTTTTTGGCAAGAAATTTGATTACTTGGAAAAGCAAGAAGCAGAATGTGGTGGCTAGGAGTAGTGTTGGGGCCAAGTACAGAGCCATGGTCCACACTACATGTGAGTTGGTGTGGTTGAACAAACTGTTACAGGAGATGGGAATATCAATCACAACCCCCATGAAGCTATTTTGTGACAACCAGGCAGCCATTCATATCTCCTCCAATCTAGTGTATCATGAGAGGACCAAACACATAGAGGTGAATTGTCACTTGTTAGAGAAAAGGTGGTTAATGGAGAAATCATTACCCCATATGTGAAGTCTAAAGATCAACTAGCTGACATGTTTACCAAAGGCTTGAGTGGTGCTCAGATGAAATACATTTGTAACAAGTTGGAGTTGTATGATATATATGCTCCAACTTGAGGGTGAGTGTTAAAACACAATTTTTGTCCTAGGGTTTTTTTAGTCTTTTCCCTTCTTTTAAACCAGTTTTTTTTGTCTCTGCTCTTAAGTCTCTGTATACAGCGGTAATATTGTATTTTTACTTTTCATTATAAATTAAGCATACAGGGGCGACAGTTCTCTCTCTCGTTAGAGACTGGTTAGCCCTATTCTGTTTGACTTCTTCTTCTCCTCTTCTTTGTCTTCATCACTTCTCCTTCTAGACTCGTACCAGAAGTTTTCTTTTATTTATTTAACTAAATACAGGCCTGATAACATATGAGAATAGCTAGCCTGTGTATCAGGTTTACAAGAGAATAAAGCCACGTCAGCAAGAAGTTAGACCAAGTGGGAGTGTCGTTAAAACAATGTAACAAACCTCTCTTTCCTCATACCTCAGGAGGTTTGTTCCCTTAGACGAACCCTGAGTTAGGCAGCACCTAACAATAACCAAAGTAGGCATGGTTGAACTATCCTATCATAACTTCTATATTGTTTGCTTGTGCTCTAGAAAAGTTTGAATCTATGTGAAAAGCAATATCCATTTGATCATCCAAAAAGGGCCACTACCCAATGTTGGTCCCAGCTAGCTAGGGTCTTGAGGGGTAAACTGGAAATAATCCTAACCTTTTGGCATTTTTTTTGCACAGAGTGACCATTATCAGACTTGGATCCACATCCTCATGCTTGCTACAACTTCCATATCTTTCTCCTTTTCTTTTCCTTTTCCATAATCACTGGTGAAATTTATAACATGGGAATAAAATAAAACAATAAAAGAACTCCCCATGTATTTAAGTACCTTGCGTGGAAGGAAATGCACAAAAGACAACGGCACTTTCAGGGGTCAGGGGAGAGACCGGCTTTGTGTATAGACCACACCTGCCTGATTCGAGATATAATTCCATTACAGCTGAGATGGTGATGTTTCTCCAGGGGCTAAGATTTATATAATCCCTGGGTTTTGAATGCTTCAAGATGGAGAGTGGTAATCAGGTGATTGGGGACTAGATGGGAGGTCATAGACCCTTGGAGTCTGAGACACTATATTACGGAAGCAACAGATTCAATACTTCAAGTGAATATTTTGTTCAGATGGATCCCTAAACTGCTACTTGTTTGCAGATGGTCTTGCCAGGGCAAAGCTGAGAAGGAATAACCATTCTGGAGATCCTTTCTGCCAAGATAATCAATAAATTTGTTTCTCTGCTTGCTTCTTAATATTTTTCTTCATTTTTTTTATCAGCAAAGGAGAATTTTATTTGAAATTATAGTTAAAAAGTGTTACAACTTTGTGTATGCCTGTATCCAAAACAGTTGGTACCTCAATGCCCCTTGTTTAGCAAGATAATCAGCTAGCCCATTTGCACTCCTTTTAACCCATTTAAATTCAGCCTCTACCTCCCTTGCGATCTCTTCCACTTCCCTTATCACTTGTTTGAAAGTCCACGGAGTAGTTCTATTGTTTTTAGCCCAAGAGATGATCACCTTGGAGTCCCCTTCAACCTCAACATGCCTCATTCCTAGTTGCTTACCTATCTTCAATCCTTGTAGCAATGCCATTAACTCAGATTTTAGAGAGTTGTCCATGCCGATAGGTCCAGAGAACAATGCTACTATTCTCCTTAATTTCTGATTACTCCCCCGATACCTAACAGTCCCGGATTTCCAAAGGAGCTTCCATCAAAATTCAGTTTAATCCTGTTACCATCTAGAGGTTTCCGTTCCATCCTCTTTCACTCTTGAAGATTGCGCTACTTCTGTCCAAGATCTTATAATGTCTATGACTGAGAACTCTTGAAAGATATGTAAGGATCTTATCCAATGAGCTACTTTAACTTTAATTGTGTCGATTACCTCCTCCCTTGTTCTACTCTTATCCAAAAATATTCTGTTATTCCTTTCTTCCCATATTACCCAACAAATAGCTACCTTTGTAGCTTTCCACATAACCTTCCCTCTTTTCTTTGATTGCCTCAAAAAGTCTCGGTTGAAAAGTCTTGCCACATCTTGAGGGAGAACCCACCTGCAACCAAAGAGAAAACAAAAAGAATCCCAAATGTGATGCACAAAGGAACAAGATAATAATAGATGTGTCAAGGTCTCACCACTTTCCTTACAAAGGGAGCACATGTGAGGAGAAAGGCAAGCAAAAGGCCTTCTTCTCTGCAGCATATCACAAGTATTAACCTTGCCAAGGAAAATTTCCCAACAGAAAGGCTTGAATTTTTGGGGGAATAGGCTTACTCCAAATTTGTTTTACAGGAAAGTCCCCTACCGGGTTGCTAGGTGTGGCAAGAATACTAAAGAAGGAGGAACAAGAGAAGAGGCCATTCTAGAATCTTCCAAGGGAAGTCCCCTACCGGGTTGCTAGGTGTGGCAAGAATCTTTTTTCCTAATATCTCCAGTATTTTTCCAATGCATTTGCAAAACTTCATTGATAGACAATACATTTAAGATTTAAAGTTTTAGAAATACCATTAGAAACCGTCTAATATTTCATTAAAATCATCATAATGTTTAATTTTTTCCCCTAAAAGAACAAATAGGGATTTGTAATTGCAAGATTGATTTATTATTCTAATATGATTCACTAAGTCACTATAATTCAGAAGAAAATGAAAAAGGCACACAACTACAAAAGTGGATTCTCAATCTGATCAAAACATAACAAAAAGGATAAAAGTCAAAATGACAAGTAATGACATATGTAAAGAAGAGAATATGGTTAAAAGACTAAAAGGGAGACTAAGAGAAAGATACCTATTTAAGTCTCTTAATCTTCTGTTATTTGATTCATGTGGTTGCTTATTATGGTTTTTTGAACCTTAAATGTGCGACTATACTTTTTCTAACAATTCTTTGAAGGTTTGTTAACTAGTTCATGTTTTTAAAGAAACTCCTGATTATTTAGATTTTCCAAATATCTTGGTGAAAAACTGAAAATAGCAAAATGTCTCCGAAAGTTCTCCATCTATGTATGGTAAAATGTCAATCAACACCAACCTGCCTACTGTTAAACTTCATTTTTCTTTTTTGATAATTTACTTTTAAACTTCATTTTCCTTTCATATGCTATCAAGATGGGAGTCTTTTTCTTTTTTTTGAAATTGCAAAAAGAAGAAAAGACAATATATGTATCTCATACCTAAAAAGTTCACTAGTTTTCAAGTTGAATTTAAATATATAAAACTCTAAATACATGGTTTAATGAAAGTTCTGAAGCAAAATTTATAAAGCAAGATGTAGCATGAAATATTAATTTCTCAGAAAAGACTATTCCTCTTTTTGAATGTTTGAAAAATGTCTTCAGATTCCTCAGATATCAGAGGTAGTATCTTCTTATGAATGCTACAAGAGCAACAAGAAAAAGACTGAGACATTGTAAGATTGCTTACACAACTATCAAATATGAAGTATCTAAATAACAAAATGAACAGAATGGGGTTCAATTGTATGTGTTATAGATCAACATCAAGGCCCTAACAATTTGAAAAGTTGTTATTAAGCATTTACATAGAAAAAGAATGTAAACAGTGTATACAATTAGACAAGTCCCCTCTACAGGACCAATTTACAGAACTTCCAATAACATGGTCACTCACATCAGCTATCCAAATCTCCAAAGATGGGTCTTCTCCAATACACATGAGCTTCCACCGGTCACTTAGCTGTTGTGTTGCCTGCAAGAAGTACCGTCCATCAGTCCATAGCCATGCCTCATTCGTTGTTATAAGTGCCAAACCTGAATGAAAGGTTCAAATCCAACATAGAAGCTTGGAAATATATATATACTTAACCCAATAAAAACTTGGAACAATATAGATACATCTAGCCAGCACCTAATAACTTACAACCCAAGACATTATTTATCTAATTACTACTACTAGCAATTCTTATACTTCCTTTTAAAACGAAACTAATTGTACTGCTAAAATGAACTGAACCAAAAATTCATTTCAGTGGTCATAGGTTGGATGGGATCACAATCTGAAAGCCCTAGGACTCTATGATCATCTAAATCCGTGCCAGAGGGATTAGCAAGGGATAGAATATACAAGAGCAAATGTATTGGGGGGATGGACTGCCATTATTATGATCAATGTTTTAAAACGCGGAGGTGTGACACGAGGCATTCCACTACCTAGAGGCATGAGGTGTAGTTCAGAACGCAAGAGGCGTAAGCCTCCCGAACACAAGGAGGCATAAGCCTCCTTAAGAGGAGGGGGGGTTAAGAGGAGGATGAAAAGGAAGGGGGGATCTCATTTTTTTTCTTTATTTTTAATAAAAATCTTTTATATTAAGAAGAATAAAGATGCATAACATTAGTTGAAAGGGGGGTCTTTTCTTCCCTTCCCTTTCCTTTCCTTTCCTTTCCTTTCCTTTTCTCTTTTTTTCTTCTCTTTCTTTTTCTTTCCCTTCCCTTTCTTTTCCTTTCCTTTCCTTTCCTTTC